AATGAAGTGACTTGCCAATAACTAGAACGTCACTGCAATCTGTTTTCAACGATTCTTTCGAAGGTTTAAGCTTATAGTCTTCTAGGTCGAGCATATTAGACTTTATGGGTTCATATTAATTAACCAAATTGATTAAGCAAATTCCTTTTAGTCCTTGGTTAGTAAGTTTAGACTTATGTACAAGAAACAAGTCAACACAAAGGGTTACATGGGATGCACAAGCAAGACATGCACAAGTAGTCAAGTAGTTACAGTATGATGCAATGAATTTGCCACCTAACCATGGATCTAGTTCTCTAAGGTCAAGGATTATGGTGTCCAAGAGGGTCCATGGTTAAGAGTCCGGATGCATCGCGTGGAAGCCTTACCTTAGAAGGATTGGCACGATGGAAGGGACCCCGCGAGATAAACTCAACTCCATGGTTTGGTGAATTCAACAAACTTGAATGCACCCATTATTGCACGGAGTGTTTATTAGGGTGGACGAAGTGTGAATTCCAAAGGGCTAAAACCATATGTAAAACACATATGGGTTCAGAAAAGTTGAAAAAACTTAATCATGAAGTAAAATCGTCGAGACAGTACTAGGATCGGGCCAATCGCGAAGACAGATTGTTGGCGCAGAATCGCCATATCGTATCGCTGGACGGCAGGGTCCAACGTCCGCCTACAGCATTGTGGCGATGCGACAGTGTTGTCATGCGGCGTTGGTCACCGACGCCTCGCGATGGTTCTAATGCTCTGTGGCAGTTTCAATTTTTGACGTTTTTTCCGATTTTTCGTATCGTCTTTTCAATTTTAGTTATGAAAAATATTTTCAGCCTTTCCTACGTGTATGTCCTATGTTTTTGACGCATTACGGATGGTCTTTTCAATGCGAACCTTTTTATTCTTATGCCACAATGTTAATCAAAATTAGGCACATAAATATCTAGAATTTTTCAAGTCTCATCCACTCATTATAAATCAATTGCTAAAGTAATTTTAGGAATCAATCTAGAAATCCTTCCCAGCAGAGTCGCCAAAAACTGTAGGGAATTTTTCAACTCCCACCCTACTGTGGTTCATGACTTTAGGCATGGCGGTGTTCCAAGGAAAGGAAGCTAGAGAAAAAGAGTCGCCAACAAGTTTTGAGAACTTGTAAACCGTTCACGGGTGTGAAGGTTACACCCCATTCATGATCACGGAGATCACTAACTCCATAGTGGTCCGGAACCATGACTGGATGTTCTGGGATGATGGTACGAATCCAACCTAAAAGAGATTGAACCCACCCTAAATAGGCCTCTACTCAATTCTTATGATATTCATGTGCGCTTTCCAATCAACATACATACATCAATTAATCCTAAACCTGTTTAATCAATGTTGGTTGATTATTAATGCACAATCAAATCTATTATTTGTGATCACTTGAATTAAAATCATATTAAGCCTAAACCAAATTATTAATTATCTTATTAGGCGTACTTTCAAGTACAAATTCCCTTTAAACATACAAAAAGGGGCATGATCAAGCAATAACAATAAATCAAGAATACTCAACCAACATATGATTAATACAACAATCATCATCATAACAACATCATCAAAACATCGTTAGTAGTAAGATCCTAGGCATGATACTAAATGGATTAATAACAAATCCTAGCATGTTACTAATAATAAGATCAAAGCATTATCCTAAACGTGATACTAAAAATCATAAAAACATCCTAAGCATGGTACTAGGAATTAAAATAACATTGTAAGCATGATTTCTACTCCAAAATCAAGAGAATAATAAAGTAATCGAATTACATACTTTGATGCCTCAACCTTCTTGCTATTAAAACAATACACACGTTAGTAAACTTCAAGAAAGTTAAATCAATAAAGTAAATAAATCAAATATGAATTGAAATGTAGATTTGGGACCAAACCCTCAGAACTATCAACCTTTCACGTCGAGGTTGGAGGCAACGTCGAGGATGGCTTAGAGTATTCGAATCTTGTGAATGAGGTATTGTGACTGATTTAGGAGAGTATCAAAGATGTGTTTAGACTAAGGCTAAGAACATTGGAATTAAGAATTCCGGGTTAAGTGTAGGATGATGATGATGATTGTTGATGATCTGAAATAGGAAAAACGGCCTCTATTTATAGGGAAAAAAGAGAGTCAAAACGATCAGAAAAGATTAGAATTTGGAACGGAATAAAACTGCTCTTGACGCGGGGCGACATAATTGTCGTGGTGCGCCAGTGTCCATTGCGGCGCGATGAACCTGACGTGTCGCGTTGGTTCTGTCATTCTGCGATGATTTGTAAAGATAAAAAAGTTGTACGGAGTTTGATTTCCAATAGAATTAGATTTATGAAGTATATCCGAACTTCTTTTAATTTGAACGTGATAAGGATTATCATATGAGAAGTTTTATTCGGCTTCGAACTCTTTTGATCTTTATCTTTTCGGAATGGGAAGATTAGAACCTTCTAAAGACTTCTAGAAGTTCCTAAAGAATCCTAATTGGATTAGGAATATGGTATTTGGACCCTCATATGGTATTAGGTTCGATTTAGTATTTTAGCCATAACTTATTCGTTATAAGTCAGATTTGGGCTTATAATTATCGTTGGAAATCTCTTTTCAAGCCCCATTCAACTAAGCAATAATTGGACTGAGAACACAGACCAAAATAATCTAGTTTGGACGTTTTTATGAATAGGACACGAAATGAATGATTTTAAGGACACGAAATGAACGATTTTGGGTCTAACACGAAATGAATGATTTGGATTAAAATATTTTAGGAAAGGTTAGGAATATAGTCAAGGCTTAAGGAAACTTCACGAGACTCTTCAACTCTTCACCGAACTCGTTAATCAAAGACGTGAAAGGTACTCATCACTGGGTTTGGTTTTTGAGGAGATACAATCAGGTTTCTACAAGGATGCCTATGCTAAACTTATTGAGGAAGGGGAAAACAAGAATAAGAAAAGAATCATGAAATCTTGTCATTGGAGCCTGCCTCGTGCTTTGTGTTTATCATCACTTGGCCTTCTTGCTGCTTGGAGAAACATGAAGCCAATTCGAATCAATGAGGTCTTGAATGCAATCCTTAAGGGTGAAGCATTCTTCGGTAGTGTGACCATTGCCTCGATGATATTTGCAACAGGAGTTTAGATTCCAATTAGGAGACCATCTTGCCGGTACTGGATCTTGGATTGGACCAATGGGATAAATGAAGCCTTGGTCATGGAGGTAGTCCAAAGCTTCATTATAAGTCATTCTTATTGGTGTATATTCGTCTACGGTCCATTTTACCCGCAGCTTAAGAGCATTGAGTTTTTTCTTTAATCTTTGATAGGAAGAAGAAGAAGGAGGACAATCGTTCTTTTCATTCTTCCAATCATGGCGATAAGTGTTTTGTTCAATGACTGATATCCGATTTACAAGGTCTTCCACTATACTCATAAGCTCGGCAATGGAATCTCGAAGCTTATCAACGTCTTCTTTTAGATTTGCTGAGTTTTCCTCGATGACATCTAAGAAAACTTCTTCATCCTCCTCAATCATGGTCACTTCCTTAATAGTGGTTATATAGAATTCTTCAATCATGGGCTCGTCAATAGGTGTAATGAGGAGAGAAGGATCAAAGATTATCTAAGCTTCTATGATGGCTAGAATCTCAAAAAGTTTGTTATCAATGATCAAATCCTGGATAGCTTCTTTGTATTTCCAACATTGCTAAGTATCATGGCCTCTTAATTGGTGGTACTTACAGTGTTTATTAGGATCCCACTTAGGTTTTCTGGCCTCCGGGACAGGATCTTTGATGGGTCCTATGGGCATGACCAGTCCTTTGCGGTGTAGTCAATCGAAGGTTGTTTCGTAGCTCATGCCAAGAGGAGTAAACACCCTTTTCGACCTTTGGATTCGTCGCTTAGGAGTGTCTATAGCAAGTACTTCATTAATGGGAGAGGAAGAAGAAGGATAGTCGTTCTTCTTTCCTTTCTCATTAGTTTTTAGCAATTCATCCTCGATCTCAATATATATGTCATAGATTGACTTGAAAGTACTTAAACCCAAGAATCTAAGGTGTTTCTTGTATTCGGGTTAGAGATTTTTTATGAACATTCGAACAGCACCACGTTCATCCGGAGCTTTGATCATCTTAGCAAAAGCTTCCTTCCACCTAGTATAAAATTCGACGAAGCCTTCATTGTCCTTTTGCTTCAAGATCTTAAGTTCTCTTTAATCGGTTTCGATTTGGATATTACTCTTGTATCTATCTATGACGGCATTCATAATATCGTCCCAAGTGGAAGTCCTCTTGGAGTCTACGAAAAATAAGCATTGTTGACACACCGGTTCTAATGAAAGATAGAAAATTAATGGGAAGAGTTGCTTGTCAATCCCCTTGATTTCCATGATTGTTTCAAAAGCTCTCAAGAAAAAGTAAGGGTTTATCTATGGGCTTGAACTGAGGAATAATGTCAGTGGTAGAGAACTTGTTCAAAAAAAGCTCCTTATCTAGTGAGATTCCCTTGGTACTCATATCAAGATACTTATAATCATTGGAAACTTGGCTTAGTTTCTCTTGGATGCACTTGATAGTCTCAGGCGAAACTTGTTTATCGATATTTTCAGCTTTTTCCACTCGAGTGGAGAGCCCCTTAACAAGATCAGCAAGAGTATAAATGGATTTTTAGAGAGTCTCGAAGTCTTCCTTAGTGGCCGCCATTAGCTGTTTCTTCTTTTTTTGAACCGTGCTTTCAAAGAAGATCTCGCGAATATAGGAGTTGTTTCAAACAAATTAACCCTCTTTCCTTAACCAAAGGCTGTGGAAGAGGAAACCATGGGCACTTCTTGTCAATCACATGGCTCGAAATCGATTCAACATGTATAGATAAGAAAATTCCTGAAAGAGCATAGTGCATGAGGGAGAATGATATGTATGGGGAAAGCATGTAGGAGGAAAGTATGCAGGAAGGTATATGTGTATAGGGAAAGTATGTAAATGTGGAAAGTGTCTAAGAATGAAGGTGTATTTATGGAAAGTTATGTAATGGAAAGGCATGGAGATTTCGGGGATTATGACGGACCCTCAACTCAAATGACAGAAAAAGATGACTCGTACATGGATCTAAGACATTGTCATGGTAGACAAGGTGTGTGTGAAGACTTGTGGGTGTAAGTGATATTTACAAGACTCGTGTCATGACCAAGTGACTAGACATGTGGTTAGACTCATACAAGACCAAGAAAATATTGTTTGTTGAAGTTAAAACTGGTTAACCATAGTAGTGCGACTCGATTTAAAGACTCTGAAAGAAAGACAGAACCATTGAGTGGCGATGGGACTGTCGCGTGACGATGGCTTCATCACGACACGACAAGCTTGTCATGGCATGATGGTTACCATTATCATGCGCCACAAATCTAGAGTGATGCGCCAATATTGGAGCATCACAATGATTTGTTTTCAGTCGTTCTTTCGAAGGTTTAGGCTTAAAGTCTTCTAGGTCGAGCATATTTAGACATTATGGGTTCATTTTAATTAACCAAATTAATTAAGCAAAGTCTCTTTAGTCTTGGGTTAGCACATATAGGTTGTATATAGACATATGTATAAGAAACAAGTCAAAACAAAGGGTTAGTTTAATCATAAAAAAGGTATGCACAAGTAGTCAAGTAGTCACAAAATGATGCAATGAGTTTGCAACCTAACCATGGCTCTAGTTCTCTAAGGTCAAAGATTTTGGTGTCCAAGAGGGTCCATGATTAAGAGTCCGAATGCATCGCACGGAAGCCTTACCTTGGAAGGTTGGTGCGATGGACGGGACCCCGTGAGTTAAACTTGACTCCGCGGTTGGAGAATTCAACAAACTCGAATGAACCCTTTTTGCACAGAGCGTTTATTAGGGTCGATGGAGCGTGAATTCTCAAGGGATAAAACCACATGTAAAACACATATGGGTTCAAAAAGGTCGAAAAAACTTAATCAGGAAGTAAAATCGTCGACACTATACTAGAATCAAGTAAAACGCAAAGATAGAGGACTAGCGCAGAATCGCTAGATTTGTTGCTGGACGGTAGTGTTCATCGTCCGGTGACAATCCTGTCGCGACGCGACGGGGTTGCCGTCCAGCGTTGACCGTTGTCGCCTAGCGACAGTTCTGGTACTCTTCGACAAACTCAATCTTCGATATTTTTTCCGATTTCGCAGCGTCTTCCCGATTTTAGTTGTGAAAAATATTTCCGACCTTTCCTATATGTATTCCTAAGCTTCGACGCATTACGGATGGTCTTTCCAATATGTACCTTTTTATACTTATGCCACAATGTTAATCAAAATTGCACGCATGAACATCAAGAGTCTTTCAAGTCTTATCCAGTCATTCTAATTAATTGCCAAACAAATTAGGAATTAATTAGAAATCCTCCCTAGTGGAGTCGCCAAAAACTATAGGGAATTTTTCTCACCCTACTGTGGGACATGTTTTTAGGCATGCCGGCGATCCTAGGAAATAAGTTAAAGAAAAAGAGACGCCGACAAGTTTTAGGAACTTGTAAACCGTTCACGATTGTGAAGGTTACACCCCGTTCACAATCACTGAGATTGCTAACTCCATAGTGGTCTGGAAACATGACTGGATATTCGGAGATGATGGTACGAATTTGACTTTCATAAGAGGTCAAACCCGCCTAAAATAGGCTTCTACTTGATCCTTATTGATATTCATGTGCGCTTTTCGATCAACATACATACATTAAATTAATCCTAAACCTGTTTAATCTATGTTGAATTGGTTGATTATAATGCACAATTAAATCTAATACTTGTGATCACTTGAATTAGAATCATGTTAAACCTAAATCTAATTATTAATTATCTTATTAGGCGTGATTTCAATTGTAAATCCGCTTTAAACCTGCAAAAAGGGGTGTGATCAAGCAATAGTAACATATCATTATTGATTATCAAGCAACATATAATTATCATAATAATCATCACCATGAAAATATCGTTAGTAGTAAGATCCTAGGCATGATACTAAACTGATTAATAACAATCCTAACATGTTTCTAAATAATTAAAAATACGATTCTAAACATGATCTAGTGATCGAAGCAATAAAAATAATTAGAGTAAATAAAACAAAGAATTAAATACTCACTCCGAATGTGCAACTTTGAATACTACATCATGAATAAATTGTTAATAACTTCAATAAAAATAATAATTCACGAGACTTAAATTAAAGAGTTAGAGAAATTAATATCACCCTCGGGATTATACCTTCACGCCTTGGTCAAAAAGGTAGAACCTTCGAATCTTGTGTTTGGACTTTGAATTACTTGAATAAGATTAGAAATAACCTAAGAACAATAGAAATTGTATGTCGAAGCTTAAAATCTAAGCCTTTTGGGATGATTTGGGATTGATAAAATATTTTTATGGTTGTCAAATTCTCCACTAAAAAAAATCAGAAAAAATGGTGATATTTATAGGCTTAAAATCGGGTGAAGATAGATTTTTGAAAGGAGATAGATTTTCGAAAACACGTAGCGAAGGATAGCAGTTTTACGGTTTTTGTTTTTATCATAACTTTTTATCCAGAAATCAAAATAAGATAAATAATATATATTTGAAAGCTCTAGAAGTATCTTTTGTAGAATGTGAGATATGATCGAAATAGTGGAACGGTGTCGGTTTTGGATAGAGTTTGGTATTTTAATCATATCGTTTCATTTCTAATCGAAATTAGGCTTATGAAATACCATTGGAAAGCTTATTTCAAGGGCTATCCAACCATCCAATATTTGGATAAAAAATTATGTGGCACGAAATTCAGTTTTGACCGGTTTTGGGACTGGAGTTGTGAAAAGGGAAAATGGCTAAGCTTGGGCTAACGAAATGGATGAAATGGCTCTAAAATGATTTTGGGCTAGAACAAAAGGACTATTCAAGTAATTCTTTTATCCATTACGCGAAGTGGACCAAATTAGGCAGAATGAGATGTTATTTCGTCATCGGACTTTGGTTGGGGAGACACAATCAGGTGTCTACACACATAAATATATGCATCTTATCATATCTTCTCTCTGTTTTTTAAGCGCCCCATTTTAACTGACATATTTGCAAATATGGAATTTTATCGATAATCTCTTTAATATTATGTATAAATTATAAAAATTTAATATTAAATAATGTTGAAATATAAAATTCCCAAGCAAGACAAGTAAGTGTCCCACGTTATGAAAAATGACAGAGTTAATTACTCTATATAAATTATAGCTAAGGAGCTATTATTCCTCTTGTTATATGGTTTTAGGATGGTTATTCCTTAGACTTGTGAACTGAACTCCCTCTCTTGATGATGGGTGCGGCCCACAACCGTATTTAACATGGTACTAGCAATATACTCACGGTTAAGTATCGTTAAACGCTTAAATATACTCTTTGTCATGAGTGTGTGTATGTGTGGGGGGGGGGGGGTTGAGAAAATGTGCTCTAGCACCACGAAACATTACATGTGACAAAATTAAAGGGTCAGTAATAAATGTGTAGTTTGAGAGAGTTACACTTCGTCAACACTCCACATCTTACATAAGGTATTTTAATACTGTCACATATGATATTTTATGGGAATAAAGTGCATTAATAAAATAAAACAGAATTAAAAGGACATTATATAACATGCATTGTTTGGGAGGTTTATTCACACTCCCCTTCAAATGTAAGGTCCCTTTAATTCTATCACATGTGATGTTTCTTGGGGTCAAAACACATTAATAGATTAAAGAAAAGAGAGTTAAACACTTTATAATGCTAAGGAGCTACTCCTTCTATTGCCATATATTTTGGGATAAATTTTGGTAATAGCTCAAACCTGTATTTAACATAAAACTATATATTGAGACAATTTTAACAAATACCAAAATAATTATATTTACTTTAATTCATATAAAGTACGAACATCGATAAATATGTTTCAAAATAGTTGAACTTGAAATTTGACTTTTTTGCAAAATTCATCCATTAACTTTTATCGTATACTAATTCAATTCTCAAATTTGACTTTTTTGCAAAATTCATCCATTAACTTTGATCGTTTACTAATTCAATTCTCAAATGTTATCTAGTAAAATGTTGTTATATTAGTATAAATATATGAAGTATATATTTTTATAATATCAAAACATTATACTTCCTCCGTGTTTTTAGCTAATACGATTACACTAATTTTATGTTAACTGGGATTTGTGATGTACAACTATGATAAACATAGTCATCATGTAGGATCTTGTTTTAATTGTTTCAATGTATATAATATTAATATCAACGTTTTATAATTTTAACTTGTTGATATTTAAGGATGTTAATCGTAAAGTTCGTGCGTGGACAAGCGTGATAAAAGAAACATTGTCTATCTAAAAGGAATGGAGAAAATAATACTTCCTCTATTCCACAAATATTGCAACAAGGAAGAAATTACGCATCCCAAAGCACATTTTATATGTTAAATATCTATAATTATATAAGAGTAAAATTATAAAATTTGATATTGTGAAAGTATTTTACGAGACGAATCTAACAAGACTTCACATGACTATATTTTACTTTACGTATAAATCATAATATATGATCAAATAAGCGTGATGAATAGTATAAAAGTTAAGTTACTGCAATATTATTATAACGGAGGAAGTATATAATAATTTATATTTTTATATACATTTTTAGTCGAAATGTGTCATATATTATGAAACAAATGGAGCATCATGTGTACAACATCACATTTCATGTGACATAATTTCGGCAGCCAAACTCTTTGACTAGTCCCTTCACGAAAATAATACAGTACAAAAATAAAAAGGATACATTAAAGTTAGGTTTTTCATTAATATTGCACCAATAATTGCATTATTAATGGGAGTTATGGGAACATACAGTATAAATTATGTCACTTCCATATAAACTTCATAACAAAAACTCACCCAAACAATTTTAGGAAGAAAGGAAAATAAAAATGGAATTTCCTCCACTAATCCAAATTTCAGAGTGTTTCATTAAGCCAAAGTATGAAACAGAAGAAGCTAAGAATCCTTATTACTTATCTCCAATGGATTTAATGTTTCTTTCTTGCCATTTGTCAATCGTAATGAATTCATTCATGGGTAAGTGTCCTCTATCGCTCTCCTATTTTATATTCCTCCATTCTTTTAATATTGTCACGTTTTTAATCCTGTTTATAAAATTTTACAAACCGTGCACCATATCCCATTTGACACTACAGATATCTAATACAATGTATATCTTTTTTTGTTATTAACTGTAATTATTATGGACAAGTATTTATATGACTATATTTTTTCTTACGTTAATACATAAATTACAAACATATATGGTCCTAAGAGAAATAGAACGACGGTGTTAACCGAGTGGTGGCTGTGGCCGGAGGGAGAAAAAATAAAAGAAGGGAAAAATGGGTAATTATAATGACAGCATGGTGACTTGGACAATAAACTGAATTATTGATAGTATCAAAGATCATTGAAAGCAGTAGTTTTGTTTAGGGGGTAGGACACATGGGAAAGATGAGAAAGTTGAGCAAGGCAAGAAAATCGTACGAATATGCTGAATTATTGCACATTTATTTATTTATTTATTTAATTTTTCTTGCATGGGGTTGCAAACTTTCAAAATTTTGAATGTTTTAAAAAACAATTGTGCCGTTTAAAATTATTCCGATCCGTAGATGGTACTCCCCTTTTTCTTTTTTTTTTTTTTTTTTTTTTTTTTTTTTTTGGCAAACGCTAAGGGAAAAATGGGTAATTATAATGTTTTCAAATTTATTTTGGGGTAATGCTTAAAACTGCATATAATAGACTTGGTGAGTCATTTAGGGGTATTAATCAGGTCTATTTCAGGTCGGGTACATATCGGGTTAGCTAACATTCGGATTGGGTCGGGTTAATTTTTGTTTCGAGTATGGCTCGAGTCAGGTGTCGGATTACTTTCGGGTTGGATATATTCGAGTCATATTTGGGTCGGATCAAAATCGAATCGGGTCGTATTCGAGTTATTCTATATGTGGATTAAGCTCAAATTGATAATTTTATATTTTGTTATTGTTATAATAAGAACAATCAATTTGATTTATGAGTTTGGTTACGATTGGAGATGAACAATTTGAGTAATTTTTTACACCAGACATTTATAGTTCGGTTATAAGATAATTTTAGTTCGGGACACTTCGAGTATTGGGTCTGTTCGAGTCAACTTTAGGTCGATTCAATTTTGGGTCGGGTCATTTCGGGTATCAGGTCAACTTCGAGTCAAGTACAGTCAGGTCGGGTCAATCAAGGTGTCGAGTCAAGATCCGGTCGACTCCATTTTTGGGTCAATTTCGAGTCGATATTTTTTGGTCAATTTCAGGTCACGAGTTAGGTCATTCGGGTCGAGCCATCGAGTCTGGGTCAAGATTGACATGTCTACATATAAGCATTAAATACATAACCTAAATTCGTGTAAATTTATGACAAAATATGTGTATATCAGTGTAATTAATGTTTATTATTTAAAATTTTTTTTACTTTTATAGTATTAATACATTGATTACACAAGTATTTAGAAAAAAATAAGCATAATACACTAATTTACACGTATTTTGGTCATGAATTCCTAAATTTATACAATTTTAGGAAGTGTATTTAATGCTTATATGCAACTCTTGCATTGCATTTTCCTTTATTTTGTACTTATGTCATGCCGTATTATATAAAATCAACAATCTTGCAAAACAAATCTACAAAGATTTTATATATATATCCTCTCATATAAAAATAAAAATAAAATAAAAAAAATAAAAGTAGAAAAGTTATTAAAACAATCTAAATTTTTTTTTATACACCTGGATGTAATAAGGCGCACCTAAGGGTAGTTTGTTCTCATTTTAATGAGCAAAAAATGACCTTGGGTGCACTTACCTCTGTGTGCACCTAGGTGTATATGAAAAGTTTCCCAACACAATATGTAAAGATTATACATGAGAATAATTTTTCCTTAGTCCGCTTAATAAAAACTTTCAAAATTATATTTTTCAATTTTGAAATAAAAGGTAAACGGGCAAAATTAAACTATTTTTTAATTACACTTTTATTTTTGGCAAATAACTGCTCTGTTCGGTTTTTTAAGTGTTACACTTTGATCAACACAAAGTTTAAGGCAAATTATTTTGAAGGGTCCGTGTGTTTTATTTTAATTATCTTATTTCATAAAGTAATTTTAGATAAAACAAATTCAAATATTAAGGTAAAATTGTCAAAAAAAAAATACCTTTTTTTTAAGTCAATTTGTGAACTAGTTCATTACTTTAATTTGTTTTTTTTTGGTCAAATAATACCATGAATTACATCTATATTTCTTATAAATTAAAAAGCAATCGTAATACAAAATATGTGTCACATCACCCTTCACATGTATTAGAATTATAACCATCACGTAATATGCCACATCATGTTTCAATGTATGGGAATAAAAATATATATCACAAGGTTTGAGCATAAAACCAATAAGAAATGAATTGATAATCTTACCATCTTTGCTATCTTTAATTATGTTTCATATTCAACTATAATACATTAAATACTTTGTATAAAACATCAATTCGAGAGTGCTTATTTAGTTTCATTAGTTATTATTGTTCGTTTACCTTTTTTTTTTTTTAATAATTTTGTAGCTCAAATAATATTGATTGATATTCAAAGTGAAAATCATGTGCACCGCCCAAACAACACACTTGTTTTTGTTTTAAAAATGACACTTTAATGATGGATTCCGACCAACAAGTCAAGTTTCCAGCATTTGACTTTATCTTTCCATCAATTTTGGTCACAATAGAGCTTGCATGAGCCACCCAGGCCAATGAAAAATAGGAATTCAAATCATTTTTACTTGAATTCTATCATCTCCTCATTCAATGGAGTGCATCACACGCACACAAAGTTGGAGGGAAAATGATAGTCAAACGCCAAAAATTTGACTTTTTGGCCAAAATTCGTAATTAAGTGTCATTTTAAAACAAGAATTACTTCAAGGTATAAGTTGACAAAAATAAAATAAAGTAACAAATTGACTTGAAAATACAAATAAATTAATTAAATTAATATCATACAAAATCAAATGAACCAAACAAAGCCTAAAACTTACTTCTTATTGGTGGTAAAAAAATTCAATTAATTTTGCCGCTTAAGCTGTTTAATACTCTGTATGTTTCTTAAAGTGCTTGTCAAAATTGTGTTTTAAAACGGAGGAAATATAATAAAGTGAGCAGAGTCTGGTCAGAAGTCATAAGTTGGTCTCTTTGAAATTAAGCAATCAAAGGAGGTTGTTTGTTAAATTAAAACCTTGTATTAACTGGTTTAAGGGTATAACTCTGTCAAATAAACCCATTGTCAATTTCCTATCAAACTCTAACCTTAATTATGTGGAATATTATCTTATTTTATATACAGGTCCAATAATCCTAGCAATATATTTTTTTTTTTTTTTTTTTTTTTTTTTTGAAAGAATAATGCTAGCAACATTAAACAACTTTACTATATACACCAATATAATTAACTTTAATTACTTGAGCAATATCAACATAGCTAAAAAATAGTAACTAATTTGATCGTATTTTGGTTTTGGACCACCTAGAGAAATCATTACATACAATTTAGTTCAATTTTCTGTATACATTTTGACATAAATTGTCTGTTACTTTTACCATTTTTTGGCTATAGGTTTAACCCACCTCCATTTGAAGAAAGATTCTTCCATTTCTCATCAGAAACAATAGCAAAACTCAAGGCAAGGGCTAATCAAGAAATAAGCAGCAACAATACCGCAATTTCATCTTTTCAGGCTCTCGCAGCATTTCTCTGGAAATCTATTATACAAGCGAAAGGACTGAAACCAGACCAGCAAACTCACTGCAAGTTAGCTGCAAATAACAGGACAAGATTAAACCCGCCGTTGCCTGAAGAATACTTTGGCAACTCACTTATCATACTAACATCAACCACGACAGTTGGAGAATTGTTCAAACATAACTTAGGGTGGACTGCATCATTGGTGCAACAGTCAGTGGTTGACCTTACCAACAAAACTGTAAACGATTTTGCAGATTCGTGGTTCAAGTCTCCTTTCGTCATTAGACTTGATCAGATGATAGAGAAGGATGAAGGCAACTCAGTACAAGTAGGAAGCTCGCCTCGATTTAACATCTATGGGAATGAGTTTGCAGGACTTGGGAAACCTATTGCTGTTCGCAGTGGGTATGCAAATAAGTATGATGGCAAAATTACTGTCTACCCGGGATTTGAAGGCAGAGGAAGTGTAGATGCCGAGATAAGTTTGTCGAGTGCTTACATGAGAGCTCTTGAATCTAACAAGGAGTTCATGGCTGTTGTATCTTCACCATAAAAGATTGAAAGATCGTAGTTACAAGATCGGGTTAAGCTAGCTTACATCCTGCATGAGTGTGATAAATCTGCTAGTAACAAATATATCATGCGATTTCTTATTAATGTTGAAAACCTTATTTTATGTCCTTTATATATTATGCATGATTTATCTGCAGAAAGTAGGAGAGGATGGAAACCAAACAATAGATAACATTGGTGCTCAGATTATATGATTCAAACATTTGGAAATTTAATTTGGTTTTCAGATAATGTTTATGCATTTTTTTTCCATTTGATTGATTTGATTGTTGATTATTGGCTTTTAGCTTAATGGTTTGACCAAAATAGATGGTGTTTGGTAAACTCAATTGCTAGCCTTTCGCTAACTATGAAAAATGATACTACGTATTAATCAAAACCAAATAAATTCATAATGACTAAATAGAAGTAAAATTTAGCTTTTTGATTTTGGTTTAAAGCAATCATTTTAGGTGGCTAAAAATTGGTTTTTGCCAAACACTTCTTTTTTCTTTTTTTTTTTTTAAAGTGAGCTATAACTCAGTTAGTTAAAGCTTCTCTCCCGATTCAAAAGAATCCTGAAATCATTTCTCATTACCCGCCCTTATAACTATCTAAACATCTTTAGTTTGTTTAACCAAAAGTTTTAAAAAAAAAAAAATTAAAAGAGCCAACTATTGATTTTGATTCAGTTATTCACTAATCAAACACCCCTTCATCTACAAGCCTGTAACTTTCTAATACTTGTATTAAACATATATGAAGACTCCACCTTGATGGGCCTTAATGCTTTTGTTTATTTATAAATGATGGAAGTCAAACCCATGTTGCAATATGTTATATTATCTCACAGGCTGTGCGTGGACTATGCAAAGTGGACTATGCAAAGTGGACTATGCAAATTGTTCTATATGGCTATTTGTAAAAAGCCCAATACGTGTGATAAGTTGTTACTTTGGACTAGACGAATTTTTGGACTGGATAATTATTTAGTCTTGCATATATATTGTGATAATATTCTGATTATTTATCTCTAACAAATTTATCATGTACTATGATAAGATATTTATCTTTATTCTTATCTAACTAATTTGTTTTGCAGATTTCTTAAGCATAAGGATAATAATATATTATCTTAAAAATATTCTGTTTTATCAAAATATTCGATTCAAGGGATAATAAGTTCTATATTTAAATTTGACTCTGTTCTTATCTAATGCTAACCGAACTGCTTGAGTTTAAATATTTGTTTTGCAGAAATCCCTTGAAGATAAGCTGAATATTTCTGTTGAACGATGAATTTGAAGCCCAAGAATAGTGCAAGACTTATTCAAATGAACGTTAAAGGTTCAACGGCTCTTCAAATTCACAAATAAAAAATTCAAGCCTCCTCTCAACTCTATAAATAGCGTGCAACTCTTCACAAGAGTTCAATCAAGTATCAATCGAGTATTATCAAGCTTCATACTTTATTCAAGAGTTGTTAAATACTTTTTTTCTAGTTTATCAAATACTTTATTTTGTAGTTAGATTGAGAGAAAAGAAAAAGTATATCAAGAGTGCTTAAATTTTGTTATCAAAAGAGTAATATACTATGAGTAGTACTATAATACTCAAAGTATAGTAAAAGTAAGGTGTTTCGGGGTTTTCTGATATCCTGCGGGAGAGTTACAATTCCAAGTCTGGTATCCTTGCGCCTGTACCTGCAAAACAACGGAGACTCCTTGTGGTGGGAGCTCCGCCTCCGACGGTCAAGTTAGTACTTGTTTTGGGAGTAATAAGTGCGGAAAAGTAAAGGTGGGATATCTGGTTCCTTAAGGTGAGGAGTGATCAATGTGTTTTGGCTTCCCTAGGTGGGAGTAATTAATTGTTGAATCCCCTTTAATGAGGACTAATTAGTGTATTTATAGTCTTGGGAAGTGTGCCTAATTCTAGAGTTTTTGGTAAACCCTGGAGCTGACTGGCTGGGCTTCTCCCAGGAAGTGGGCCTAGGTGGCCTCCTTCCAAGCTGGCAATCAATGGGCCACATGGCGTGGCTTGACTGGTCCATGGTGGACAAATGGTTGTGTGCCACGTGTCAGGCCATGAGAGGTCCAAATGGATGACACTTGGCAGGACCTGATTGGTCCACGTGGCGTACACTGATTGGGCGGGAAAATCCCCTAATCATTTGCCCCTCACAGGTGGCACGTGACTGGTCACATGTCACCTGTGACAGGTGGCGGCCTGTAACATGCAACGGACTGCTACAGGTGTGGCCTTGTGATTGGCCGAGAGCTTTTTCCCGCTCATTTTTGAATTCAGAAGTGACCCTTCGTATTCTCATTTTACCCTATATAAGGGCATGTTGACCAAGTCTTTTGTTCACATTTGCGAACTTTGCAAGAGAACTCTCGGACCCCTGAACTTGAGCTCTGATTTTCTAGACAACTGACTTCACCAGCCGCCTGCTTTTTAGACGCCTGCTCAATCAAGCACCCTTTCAGAACTTAAGTTTCAGGTAACCGTCTGTTCCTTTTTTCTTTTTCTGCTTCGCTTTTGCACTTTTTCTTTCTTTTTGAAAATGAGGCCTCAAAAGCATCCGGCACGGCCTAGGTTAGCAATCAGCCGGTCAACCGGGGACGGCTGAGTCTAGGACTAGGGGTGCCAACTGCCCTGCGGTACTTCAAACTTTGCGTAAGTCCCGGAATCCAACTGTCTTTGTATCTATGCAGGACAGTATGGCAAGAACAAAAAGAACAACAAAGGTTGGAAGCTCTGATGACTCTTCATTCCGGGTTTAAATTAGTGAGCTGTCGGACCAGCCGCCGAACACCTCAAGGACCCAAGGTGGTTCTGCTGCAGAGAGCTCTGAGGAGGGGGCCAAGGTGGTCCCTTCCCATTTTTCCGTTGACCTAGCTGGTTAGCAGTCGGCCCCCTCTGAAGAAGAGGGGTCGGCCCCCTTAGAGAGGGAGGAATCGGGCTCTTCTGAAAGTGAGTCCGAGTCCAGCTCTTCAAGCCGTCTGTCTCCAAGTTCTGAAGAAAGACATTCTCGCATGGATGAGGCAAGGTTATCTCACTCAGTCGAAAAGGGGAACGATTGGGCAGAACCATTCGTCTCTCATAGGGAATTGCACACCCCTTATTATTGTCACGTCCCAAAGGGCCGAATCAAGGCCATGAAAGACAGAATGGAGACCTTTCGATCGGACCATGTGATGGGTCCGGATTTTCAATTATTCGTGCCAGATGCTGAAGATGCAGTCGTCTGGTCCGAGGGGTCCAGTTATGGGGACGCCTGCTTTGGCTGCTACGAGGCAGCCATCAAGGCCGGCCTTCGATTTCCCTTGCATCCGGCCGTTCAACAAATCCTCGATGGGTACGAGGTGGGGTTATGGCAGTTAGCCCCTAATTCCTGGTTTAACATCCTTGGCTATGTAGCCGGATGTGAAATGCATGGGGTGGAGCCGAATTTTGAGGCGTTTGCCCATATGAATTATTTAAGCCGAACCCCCAAGGCAAGCGGTACCGACTGGTACCAAATAACAAACCACAAAGGCTATTTGATGACTAGGGGGAAAGAAAATAAATGGAAAGATTGGAGAAATACTTTCCTCCTAGTCTCCAGTCCCGACAAGCTCCTGAACAAGCGGTACAATAGGTGGAATAGGAATCCGCCTCTTCTTGCAGGCGGCCCTAGCATGCCGCCTGTTCCTCGCAAGGCCAAGGAGGAGATCCTTGACCAAGGACTCTTCAAAGTAGAGTTAAGAGCCTACTCTACTACTAGGGTACGAGAGCAGGTGCCTTTAAACTGTGTTCCCAGATTTCAGTGGCTGTATGACAAGTACTTTTTGGCCGCCTGTGGCCTTAGTAGTCGGACCTCCAGAGGTAGCCGGCTTCCCGTGCCTCTACATGTATTACTTGATTTATTTTTGCATTTTTCTCACTCTTTGTGGTGTTTTCTTTCAGCCAAAGCTATGGGCCAAATTTCTGCTTCCAAGAAGGCGGCTGCTTTGCTGCGAGCCTCGATCATGAGCTAGAGGCGGACCTCTGTTGACTCTCCTGCCAAGGAGACGCCCATAGTAAGTTCCTTCTCTTCCGAGTTTCACTTTGAAATCTTTTTTGCCAGTACTGACTTTCTTGTGCTTCTGTAGGCGGGCTCGTCCAAACCATCTTCCTCCCAACAGCCTGACTCAAAAGTTCGGAAAACGACTGCTGGGAGTACGCATGGATCTGCCAGGAAGCAGTCGGCTGACAAACAGCCGCAAACCCCACAAAGTGGGGGTAAACTAACACAAGTCCCTAGGGACAGCCGACCTCCAAGAGGTATAACCGGCTCCTTCGGACCTTGTTAAATTTTTCTTCCTTTGATATTCTCTCTGGTTCTAACAATTTGTCTTTGAATCCAGGCGGCCCTCAAGACCCAGACTTGGTCCAAATGGCCAAGTCTATGGTTAAAGCCATCCCTCTAGAGGAGCGGGATGCGGTCAGGGGAGTCGGCACCCTTGACTTAGACGGAATCATGGGTCTCCTCTCTGAGGTATACTTATCATTTTTTTTTTTGTAAAATGTTGAATGACCTTACCTGCTGCCTGTTTTTGCAAATCTGACGCCTAGTGCTTCTTTTTCAGACCATGCTTCGTGTACACGGCCTCTGTAGGCCGATCAGCGCCAAAAACAAAGAGGTATAAGCTGCCAAAGCCATGGCCGCCTCTGACTTTGACAAGGCAATGTTTCAAATTTCCCAAAATGAAATTTTGACAACTGATATTCTTTATTATCAGGCTCAGGCCACTTTGGAGATTAAGGGCAAGTTGGAGGCGGCCAACAAAAGGAACCAGGAGCTGGAGCAGGCGGTCAAGAGCCTCAAAGACGAGCTGCATCCGCTCAAAAACATCGCCCATAAGGCTGAAGATCTGCAGACGTCTCTGGACACACTCAAGGAGCGCTTGGAGAAACAGGAGGCAGCCATCACAAAAGATCTTAATGCGAAGGCCGAGACTGAGAAGCTGGCTCTAGCCCAGGCCATGATGGAGGACTCGGCCAATATCATGAAGATGACCTGGTCGTCCCTCTTCCCAAAAGCTAGCTATGTCGCATGGGATAAGACATTCAATGCTTGTACTGAAGAGTAAAACAGAAGAATCATGCAGCAGGCGGCTGATGAGGACAAGAAGGAAGAGGAGGCGGCCGGCTCCAGCTCAGAAGAGGAGGAAGAGGTCGTGGCCCTGCAGCCGATTGAGGTGGATGCGCATAAAGCTCCTGCCCCTGAAGACGAGACAACAAAAGGGGATGCTTCAAAGAATCAAGCGTCCATCGTTGAGCTTGATCAGGCGGCAGTTAACACCGAAGCCCCTCCCAATGCTTAAAGCTTTCATTTTTCAAACTTTACTCCGG